AAACTCTTGAGCGCCAATGATCACCATTCCTCTCCTTAAGAAGCTCTTGGATCCCAAATAACAACTCTTGAGACCCTCATAATTGAACCCACTTCTACAGTAAGCAGCAAAAGAACCTTAAAACTTTCAGATCCCACTGAGTCCCCGAGGATGCCCTCAGAGACTACCAAAGCACCTTAATGCTTTGCAAGGTCAGAAGTATTTTATTATTTGTTGCCTCTCCCTTTCAATTCAACCAGAAACACTTAAAATGAATAAAACAAATGCTGAAAATATAATCTATAAGAATATAATCTTTTTCTTTTAGTGATGGCTGAAATCCTAATTATGATCAGACAGCTGGAGGTCGGAAGTCTCTTTTGCGTTTTTTTCGCCGTAAATATGCTTGTTTTTTTTGTTTTTGTTTTTTTAACTGATATATCATGAAAAGGAGAGCGATGCGCAAAAAGGTCATAATAAAAATATTTCAGTCTTCTAACAAGGTTTATTTAATGTTTCATATTCGTAAACGATTTAAGGATGTAAATGGAAACTTGTTCCCAACAGAATTAAATAAAAACAAAGAAGATTCACTTTAATCTCTTGCATAAGAAAGTTTCTGACGCTCCTATTTTGCCGGAAAATTTCAAAAAAGTTTATTTTGAGTTTCTATATTCAGAACTTAGCACTGAGTGTACTTTGATGGTTCTTTTTTATTTGTTATACTTTAAAAAAAAGAATTTTTTTTCACGTTGTTTAAAGTGTTTCCCAAGTTGCTGAGGTCAAGTTTTACTGTATCTTATCCTTCATGACGGCGTTTGCCCCCATAAAAGAACTCAATTTCGTTTTCAGTCCCCCTTGTTAACCAGCCGTTTTTCCACGACCTCTGGATTCTCCAAATAGTAACGCTCATATGGTTTTATTTGGAGTTTTACTTGTTGCCACTTTCTTCAATGCTTATTTTTGGCATTTTAAATTACAAGGACAATAACTGGATCCTGGTTTCATTTGAATGCCCCAGCTTTTTAATTTAAACACCAGCTGTTACCCGCCCAAGCAAATGTTAGAATTAGCATCTAAAAGTCGAGAAAAATTAGAAAGAAGCTGTTGTTACGTGAATTTATTTTTTATTAAAACAAACAGATTTACATCTGGAACCGCAGAAACTACCCCTCCTGGCCTCTCTCCGACGAATCCACCTGCTGCTTTTGTTTCAGGGGACAAAACGTGTCCTTAAATTTCTGAAACAGGCGCTTTGCTGAGATGCTTTTGGACAAACTAACACCAGAGAGCACCAATTTTTATTCATCCCTGTTTTTGTCCTTCTGAGACTGGATGGAGGGTTTTCTCTGCGGCTCCTCCTCCTCCACAACCTTCCCCTCCTCCTCCTCCTCAGGTCTGTTTGGATGCTGCAGAGTCTCACAGCCCGACAGACACAATCAGGAATTTACCTCAACACATACAGACACAACAAGGAAATACAGCGACAACACGGAAGCGCTGCAGAAAACATGCAAGCTGAGCCGAACAGTCCGCTCACATCCTGAGCTTCTCTGAGCAAACAGCCAGTATGTTCAGTTAACAGACAAGCTCATAAACAAACAGCACCGAGTTAGATTACGCTGTCAAAATAAAAGCATAATGGAGAAAAGAATGTCCCTCTAAATACATGTCCTTTATGCGCGCGTTTTTACGCACGAATAAAACTAGTGGGAAGAATGAGTATCAGTTTTTGGCACCTGCTTGCACTTGACCAACACCCTGAATCGTCTCATCATTGGTATTATTATTTGAAGGGAAAAAAAAGCATTACATGAAGCTGAATCTATCCTGTATTATAAAAACTATGGTAAGTGAATGAAAGATCCAAATGAAGAAAATAAAAAAATAAAAAAATTACAGAACCTTTCCATGAACGTTTTCATCCAGCAAATTGTTCTTTTTGGTTCTGTTTATTGTAAAAGACCAGTCAATAATAATAATATGGCATTAAATCATACATATATGAAATGTTCATATAAAAAATTAAATTCGAATTTAAAAATGATTTATTTTTAGCAAAACAGATAAAACAAAAACAAAATATAAAGCTTCTCAGACGGGAAATACCGTAATAATAACATGACCGGTGATGAACCTTAATGGTTTATATAACAAAATAATTAAAAACAAAAAAAAGGAGATTCTGACAAACTGATGGAGTTTATTCAGACTTGTAGTTTCTGAGAATGTGTTCAGTGCTCAGTTTCTTCTTTGTGCCTTAAAAACCTTCCAGCCCGAAATAAACCCGCTCACTTTTGCTACAAGTCTTCTCCTGCCTTGCTTCAGTGATGAGCGCCCGTCACTGACAGACTGCTTCACCTTTTCACAGAAAATAAATTCATATTTGTGGTTGTCTGAGAAGCGCAAACGCTTCCGTGACAATTCAGTGTTTCATGCGTAAAAACAGCGGAGCGTGTCCGAGCAGCTGGTTCATCTTTTATTAGAACTACACAAAGAATTACGTCAGGTGTATTTAATCCAGCGCGACTCTCTTGAAAGTCGCTCTTTGTTAATAAATGAGCTTTCTCCTCTCAAATTGTAGGTTTTCTGTGTGTCAGCAAGCTGAGTCACATTTCTGCCGAAAAGTCTCCACTTTGGATGAAAACTGTGAGTTGTTGGCAGATTTCCACATGATTCACGTAAAGTTAAGAAATTCAAAGTAAAATAAAAAATATGGAAAAATGTTCAATTAGCTTTATGTGGTTTCGTTTTGGACACCTCGATGCTCCAATGATGTCAAAAAAATGTGTGTGTGTGTGTGGGGGGGGGGGGGGGAGGCTTACAATTTCGGTTGTCTTCCCCTCGCACACACTGACATCAACATCCTCATACCACCTTAAACGTGTTAAATCAACTGTTGTGCACTTTACAGACTGACAGATTTGGCTGAGTGTGTCTCCCATTAAACTATTTAAGGTGGAATTACATTCTGAAAGGCTTTTATTTTGTAGACTTAACAGTTTTTTTTCCCTTTTGTAATTATCTGTTCCAGACAACACGTGAGGGTGTTGTTGAGGGGGAACATAATATATTTATTTTTTGCGCTCATATGGAGAGAAAAACTTCATTGTAGTAGCAACAATACTTGTGATATCTGCATGGAAATATTACTATTACTGTGCTAATAACAGCGGTGTAGCTGTACTCATTTCGTCAATAATGACAGTGAATCAATAAAAAACCCCCAGCAGTGCTACTAACAAGAGGTAGTTGTGTAGTTTCAGGGGCTGAAGTAGCTGCATACGGCTGGAAGTACTACAGGCGTATTTGAGTGGATAGTCGTGTAGTTGTTGTGGGAACACTTAGCAGTAGTTGCAGTTTATGCATGAATTAAATGAACTCCAGTGAGACCAGAAACAATATCTGACTTTATTCAAACAACAGCAACAACAACAAAGTGCGTAAATATTACTGCACAGTCCAATTCGTGTAGTATCTGTAAAGCAATATGTGTTCTTAGCGGTTTACTATCAACATACGATAATAATGTAAACATTTAACAATGTAAGAACATCAGCGGTATCTATTCACTAATTTCCTCTCCACTGTGACACTTTGAACTTTTTTTCATTTCCTTTTCTCAATCATTTCTTCGCGGGCTGGCAACCAAATTCTGTTATAAATGTAAACACATCAACCCATAAACAGCGTCCCCGTCTTTAATTTTATGAACGTTAAAGCGGAGATAGATAAGGCAGATATTGTGGACTTCATTGCCTACATCCCTCAGTGCCGTTAGAGCAGCAGTAAATGAAGGAGCAGGGGTGCCGTACCAGTCATAGTATATGCGTATAATTGCAACGTATCTTATTTTATTTTGTTTTATTTCTTCGAAGGAAAAAAAATTACATAAATCCCTATTTGAAATGTTATGTTAAATTATTTCACATTTTTCTTTCGATGACCGTTTAAAAGAAAAAGAAAAAAGAAATCTGTGAATGCGGCTTGGTTCTAGCTCTCGGCGGCCCTCGGCTCTCCACCCTTTCCCACACTCCGAGTCTCTTCCTGCCTCCGGTTCACTTCGTGCTGTTGTTAAATTCTCCTCCGCTGGGAGGAAAGTAAGTGACTACTGAAACCTTCCTTAAAGTGGCAGATTGAAATGACACCGTGTTTATGCCCGGCACACATTTTACGCACGGAGAAGCGGCTTTTGGAGAAGCAGCCCCGCAGCCTTTCTGCGCAGCGCAGTCTGCTGCGATCTGACACATAAATCACCTCAGCCTGTCCTGACCGTGTCCGCGTGCCCTCCGGATCCCCTCTCCTCTGTTTATTTTCCCGGGATGTAAACAGTTTTGGAGACGCCGAAGGGGCAAATATTTGAATCGGAGGAGTGTAAATATGAGGAGCGGCGGGGATTTGGGTTTACGCATGCACGGTGTGTGTTTTCCAGCTATGGTTTTTTGGTTTAGGTGGGGGAGAGAGTGTGAGAGGGGAGGGATGAGGGGAAGGCACACGAGTGTTGATAAGGGTGAGTGTGTTTTCTACGCTGTAAAAAGTGTCCGATTTGGCGGCGTAAAAAGGCTCTAAAGTTTCATTTTCTCTATAAAAAATGTCAGGTGAATAGACGAGTGGGTTTTTAAAAAATCTCAATTTTTTTTTATTCGAGTTTAATCCGTTTACAGTTCAAGGGTATGATTTCGCAGATGAGATTAATACGAGGACAGGGAGCACGAGTTTGAAGAAGAATAGTCTAACATCCAACGAAAATTTCGAAGCAAACGATTCGCTTTGGAAACCATAAAAACAGACTAGTTCCTGTCGCAGTTCGATGTTCATTTTGATCAAATTTCGATTCGTTAGGACAGAAACCATGAAATGTATCGGGAAGGTGGGCATTTTTTGCAGCGTGCAAGGCATTGGTGGATGTGTGTGTTTCCCTGTGCGTCATGATTGGCTGAAAGCGCAGAGGACGCCTTAATATTTAATACTAATGTTCCCCTGGTTGGCTGAGGACTGGAAAGGTCCAACCAATGTTTTTTTTACTTGCTTTAGTGGCTGTGGCTCCCTAATTAATTGCAGCTATCTGTCTCCTATCGATGTGTGTGTACATGTGTGTTGTGTGTGTGTTTCCTTTTTTCTCCCCAAACCGAACATGAAATAGTTTGTTGGGCTATACTTTCTTTCTTCCTATCTATCCCCCCTTCCTTCCTTCCCGTCCTGGTTCGCAGGCAGAGACAGGACAGATTGAAACCCAGCTGTGATCGTCGCTTTTGGTCGTTGCCATTTTCCCCCCTTATTGCCCGGTGATGTTGGATATGGGAGAGCGCAAAGAGGTGAAAATGATTCCTAAATCGTCGTTTAGTATAAACAGTTTGGTGCCCGAGGCCGTTCAAAGCGACAACAACAATCACCAGAACCAGCATCACCACCAAAACCACCTTCACCACCACCACCAGAACCACCACCACCGGCCCGGCGCCGCGGACGAAGCCGAGCAGAAAGCTCCTCTTCCCGTCGCGCAGCCGGACGTTAAGGCGGACTCTAAAAGTGACTCCTCGAGACAGGAGAGCTGCCCGGACGAGAAGGAGAAGCAGGAAGAGAAAAAGGACGCAAAGGACGGAGACGGCGGCGCTGGAGGGAAGGACGGAGAGAAGAAAAGCGGCAAGTATGAAAAACCTCCTTTTAGTTATAACGCTTTGATAATGATGGCCATCAGACAGAGTCCGGAGAAGCGGCTCACTCTGAACGGCATTTATGAATTCATCATGAAAAACTTCCCGTACTACCGGGAGAACAAACAAGGCTGGCAGAATTCCATCCGACACAATCTCAGCCTCAATAAATGCTTCGTCAAGGTGCCGCGGCACTACGACGACCCGGGCAAGGGGAACTACTGGATGCTGGACCCTAGCAGCGACGACGTTTTCATCGGCGGCACTACCGGGAAACTCCGACGGAGGTCCACCACGTCCCGAGCCAAGCTGGCCTTCAAGCGGGGTGCTCGGCTGACCTCTGGGCTGACCTTCATGGACCGAGCCGGCTCCCTGTACTGGCCCATGTCCCCCTTCCTCTCGCTACACCACCCGCGGGCAGGCGGCGCCCTCGGCTACAACGGGACCTCATCGGGATACCCGGGTCATCCCATGTCCTACAGCACCATGCTCACCCAGAACATGAGCAACAACCACTCGTCATTCCCATCCTCCAACGGGCTCAGCATGGACCGGCTGGTCGGGGGGGATCTCCCCTACGCGACGCACCACCTGACAGCGGCGGCCCTGGCGGCCTCGGCGGTACCCTGCGGCCTCTCCGTGCCTTGCTCCGGGGCCACTTACTCCCTGAACCCCTGCTCGGTGAATCTACTGGCCGGACAGACCAGTTACTTTTTCCCTCATGTCCCACACCCGTCCATGACCACGCAGTCCGGCGGCAGCGGCGGCACCTTGCAGGCCGCCCGGGCTTCGGCCTCCAATTCCCCGCAGGCTCCGTCCTCCTCCTCGCTGCCCTGTGACTCTCTTAGGCCCGCTCTGTCCGGCTCTCTGCCGGCCTTCTCCTCAGGACTTTCCGGGGGGTTGTCTGACTATTTTACGCATCAGAACCAGAGTTCAACCTCCAACCCGCTTATACACTAACACCCCAAACCCTCACCCCCAGCCTCACCCCTCCACTTTATCCCACCTCACCTCTCCATCCATGCATCCATCCCCTCATTCTGCCCTGAAGGAGTGAGAATCTTTAAGTGACTGGAACTGTAAGTTGAACATTTTACACTGAACATTTACATTGTACAAAAAATGACAAAATTATTATAAACTACCTACTATAGAAAAAAGAGAAGAGGCTTAAAACTGCAAAACAAAAAAGAGCAGCACTGAGAAACTAACAGAAAGCAGCCCTGAAGTTTCCAGGTATTTTTTATTATTATTATTATTATCTTAATTGTTATTATTATCATTATTATTATTGTTATTATTATTATTATTGCTTCTTCTTCTGCTCCATCTTCTCCAGCAGTTTTAATTTTTGTGTACATAATGTCTGTTCCTATAAGTGTCCGGGGTTTGTCTCTGTATAGTACTGTCAGTCAGCGACGTGCAATGTGATCTGAGATAAAAAAAAACAAAACAAAACAAACAAAAACACAAAAAACAGAGAGCGTGAGGAGAGCTGCAGGCTGATTTTTTCTGTTATTATTATTGGAGGAGGTATTACTTTTATAGAATGTGTATTTAAAATAGTTTCGTCTAATTTTAAGATTTAAAAAGGTAAAATAATAATAATATCTCTGATAGCCTGTTTTACCCGCATTTTTGCAGTATTATAGGTATCATGCGGGGTTGAAGAAAAGCGGCGGAGAGTGATTTCATTTTACAAAATTGAAACACATTTTTTATATATTTTTTTTATTTTTTGTTTCTAGCGACTCTGCCTCCCGCAGTTTAAAGTCCCGAGACTGTTTCTCCACTCGTTTAATTTCCCAGTTGAAAACTGCTAATGTACTTTCTATAGACCAAAGAATCGGTTTTTTAGGATTTTTAGAGTCAGTATTCAGCTGCATAACACTACAGGCCTAATGTGGAAAGAATTAAGGACTGAATGAGTGAATGAATGGGAGAAGGTGTGGATGACGGAGTGAATGATGCCTCCCTCACTGCAGAAAATATCCATTTAAACGAGATTTATATTGCTTTTTTGCAGTCTTTTTAAATTAGCTGAAACGTAAATGGAGTTTGGTGGCGCCGATTTTTTTCAGCGTCATCAGCGAAGGATTGTTAGTGCTGCTGGAGAGATTTTTTTTTGCCTCCTGTTGCCTGTTTTTTTTTTAACCTTTTGAATTTAACTGCTCGTGCTATAGAAAATTCAGATTTCAAGGCTGAATATTGAGCACAAATTTCTCGTTTTGCTGATGGATATTTTCCGCAGTGCAACCTGTGATGTGCTTTCTTTGACTGTAAACGTGATCGCCGATAAAAACGGACGTTCACGCTTCTTTTCCTTTTATTTACTTTTTGTATTATTAGTAAAAAAAAAAAGCGAGCGAGAGAGAAATGTCTATTTGTAAGTTGAATGTGGGCTTTTGCTTTTCTGTTTTTCTATAAAAGGAGGAACGATGTAAAAACCCGTTTGTTTGACAAGAAAAAAAATGCCTCATTATCTAATACTACTTGGAATGATTGTCCTTTAATTGTCGTCTCTAAAAAAAAATTCATGGTTGTGATACTATTGTGGTCTTATTCTTATTCCCGTGTTTGTCGCTTACAAAAGTTTAAAAAAAGAAAAAAAAAGAAAAAAAATAATCATAAAAAATAAAAATAAAAGAATAGGTTACATTCATAACTAATGAAAATCCTTTTGTCTTTTTTTATTCCTGCCGTCCGTGTTTTCACTGATTTCACTGAAAAGCACAAAAATCAATTTAGGATTATTATTGTTCTTTTTTTTTTAACAGCAAAACCACCTTTTTTTTCTTCTAGATTTTAACTTAAATTTTGGATTTTCTTAATCAGATTCTGAATTATGGTTTTATGGAGAGCAAACATCATTTGATTCATTTGTGGGCTAAGGTCGATATCCCACCTCATCCACACGAGTGTTTCCGTTTATGTTTTCCTGGAGTTTTAGTTGTTCTTGTTTACGCACACATCTGGGATTAAAAAAAAATTCAACCTGTGCGTTACAGCTTTTACACGTGCAGATTTATGCGCGTCTCGGTGAAAAAACTGTCAAATGATGCAACCGGAGGTCGCGTTAAGGCTGCTGAAGCCTGACTGACTGTGTGAGGGTCTTTTGGTGTTTCAGGTTGTGACATTTTCTCCTTCTGAGCAGTGAAATCTGAGGCGCTGGAGGCTGTGGCCTCTGGGTTTGTGTGCAGCCCCCCTCCACCCCGCCTCCCCAATAATGTCATCTTTGCACTGTTTTATCATCATATGTTTGTTTGGTTTAAACTGCTCACAGCTCAAACCACCGTACACTAGTTGTAAGGAGCTCCAGTTTTTTCAGTCTTTTTTCCAAAGAAAAGTCAGGATGTGAGAGCAGATTTGAGCGCTGTGTCACTGATGCGTTTTAGTGTTTTAAATGCGGCTTTTCTTGCTCACTTTGCTCAGTTCTGTTTGTTTTTTTAAGCCCCAGAGCAGAAACTTTCTGGATATTTTCCCCTTTACATTTTCAGATTTGACATCTTTCCTAAACAAGAGTCAGCTTTTGCAGGCTAATTGTGGTCACTGGTGTTCTTTCTTTGGCGCTGTGCAGTGTTTTCGTCTGTCTGTGGCTTTTTATGTGTTAACAGGTGATGACTTTGATGGTGAGATGACTCTTCTTCTCTGTTTTTTAATCATTCTGCCTCATCTGATTTTTTTTTCTTTTTAAGAATCAGAAAAAGATGATTTTTCCCCCTTAAATTTAGAGATTTGTGCATTTTTTTCTTGGTCAGGGGCCAAATGGTGATGGCGCGTTTTTTCCACTACAATTTCTGATATTTCCACCGTCAGGAGACTTTCTTTCTTCTTCCCCTTGGCGCTACTGTGGTTTAGATTTTGAGTATTTCAGATGCTGGTGGCCGGGTTTGCGCCTTCTTGATGCTATTTTACAGCTGAAACTTAAACAAGGTTGAAAATTTACTTCTTAAGTTTGGAACTATTTCATGTTGTGTGAAGTTAATTATTTATTTTTGTGGTGTCATATTTGTACTATGCAACGATCGGTCTGAGATCCACATGTATGCTTCATGTATAGGTCGCAGATGCTTGGTTTGGTTTTTAAATCTCTCCATATAAACACACACACACACACACACACACACACACACACACACACACACACACACACACACACACACACACACACACACACCTTACATTTCAGATTGCGTTAATTCGGTTCTTCAGTAAACAGGTTCACATATCGGTTTTCAGTATTTTTGCGCTTCTGTGGAGAAGAAACATGAATTAAATCCAGCAGGGATGCACGTGCTGGTCGTGAAGTCTCACATTTGGAGATTTTCTCTCTTTGTTACCTGATGCTCTGCGTTTAATTCTGTGTGGCTGCAGCTTATGTGCCACTTTCTGTTTTGTTCTTACGCTTTTTTGGGGGTGTTTGTGTTTCATTCAGGAAGTCTGATTCAAAGCTGAGCGTGTGCGTTTGTGTTGTGCTTTCTGCTGCTGCCAGGATCAGCTTCAGTGTCTTCTTTGAGGTGCTCTGATCGCTTTTTGTGCAGTTGTCGTGATTCCGAACTCAACCTGAAATCAGAATTCTACTTTCAGCCCTGAAAAAGAAAAGTGAGATCTGGATGCAGAGATGTGTTTGCGTCCTCCTCCTCAGCGCTTATGAGCAACGCCTAAAGACTCACAGTGTGTTCAGATGTCGCTGTGATCGCGTGGATGTTTGTTGTTGCAGCTGGTGTGATTTTGATCCGCGGCCTGCAGCTTTTCCTCCTCTCTCTCTCTCGCTCTCTCTCTATGCTGGTGCACAATCACCACCTCACATTTTTTTCTGCAGGTTTGTGGCGTAAAGCCGTAAACTGAGCCTCTCTGTCTGAGGCGCTGCAGGCCTTCCAGCTTATTCTTCGTGTTTTAACATTTCAGCACAGGCTGCACACACATATACATTTTTTCTTTCTCCACTTTCAGGAGTTTAAATTCTCTAGAGTCCACTTTAGTTGGTGCCTCATGCTTTCTGAAGCCCGTTTTCTTGCAGTGTTGTTGCTAAATTCGAATAATGTTTGCTCAATTGAAGGAAAAAAAAAACAACAAAAAACAAAACAAAAAAGCTGTTTCGATGTGAGGATCGTCCTTCCTCACCTGACAACACGTTCTAACCTGAATGAGTCTCTGTTCGGTTTTGGATAAACGCTATCACGTGATTTGTCCTATAGTGGAGTATAGTAGGTCTATAGGTCCCCTCCATCCATCTTAAAGCTCCAATTTTCTGTCTCAGAAACAACAGGTCTTGGTGTTGTTGCAGAATGTTGTTTCCCGTCTTCCCTGTCGTTTGGTGGAAAGATAATTCATAATCCATGCAGATGTGAGCGTGTTCTGCTCATACAATAAGCCTGCAAAGCAAACACTGAGTTTCTCATAGAGTCAGTGTGAGAAAAATGGGATATTTATCTTATTTAGTTAAAACAAACTTATAAAGAAACCTCACAACAACAACAACAACAACAACAACAGGTAGTGCAATTATTTCAAATAATGACAATGACAGAATAAGGATTATTGCCCTCATGCCTGTCTGCTGCCCACAGGTCAAAGGTTAAACCTCCATCCTTTTTTGTACTTTTCTTAATATGTGTTAAAATAGCAACCATCTTAAAATCTCTTCATTTCTTTCAGTGGAAATTATTCCAAAAAACAAAAACAAAAATCCCAAAAGAAACAAAACAGAGTTCATTATTATTATTGAATGTTTTTGCTTTTTAAACAAAATTCATGTCCCATTAAGAGATTTTGGATCATGAAATATTTCACTGCTGCACCTGCAGTAACTAAAGCAAGAGGTCAAAGGTCAAACCTTCAGACTGCCTGCAGCTTCCACAGGAAGCAAGTGCGACCCATGTGTAGCAGACGTGTAGTGCTTGTGTTGAACCTGCAATCAAAGTAGCAGAAAGTGGAACAAAAGAATGGTGATGCAATGACGCTGATAGTTGTGTCTTTCTGCTTTTATTTGATAATCATTTATTTTTTCTGTGCATCACCGCAGCGGCTGCTAGCTTCAGTCTGAGTGCAGATGGCTCAGGATCTCCTCCGCCTTTTTATCGCGCACAGATCTGTCGTTTGGAGTCGCTGAAAACCTTCGGCTGTTTGTGCTGTTTGCTGCTGCGGCTTTAGTGCTCAGTGG